CTACTCAGACTCACGTTGAAGAGGGATTGTTTTGCATTTTTCGCGACGCGATAAAAAACAGAGAAGCGAAGCGAGACCGCATTCTCTGTTTCGGTCCATCCATATTACATTATGCGCCCGGATATATGCTCTCTCTCTCTCTCTCTCTGTTTTTATTCGGTGTCGCGCACACAACCAATACATTTAATACCTACAATCTTTTTGTCTGTAACTTGGCATTAATCCGGAAACGTAATAAAGCGAGATACGAATAAACATAGAGAGTAACGGGCGATGGCGCGGCGCGGACTCACCAAAAACTACGTACGCTAGCTGCAGGATATCCGGGGGCAGAAGTAGACGGCCGGGATATGCAAACGCGCGACCGTAAGCCCCGTCGGATTAAGCACGGACGTATTTTCAATTCGCGATAGCAATAAGTTCAACCTCGTCCGCCCGTTCGTTACTCAGTCGCTCTATCTTCTCCCCTAACTCTCTTTCGTCCTTTCTCCTCGACCCTCTTTTTGCACTCCGATCTCGTTAGTACCGTTTTTATTCCGTCGTTCCCTGCCTCTTATCCGAACTGTATCGAATCCTTCCGCGATCGTCGGCGAATCCCGAAGAACGATTGTATTTGATGCCCATCGGCATTCTTTATTGGCATTATTTACAGTTTGTCTGTCTAAGCAATTCCGGGCTTTTTTATAGATAGTATATTTTATATAAACGTTTATTTTTATCAAAAAAATAATAATTGTCTGAACGGAAATTATTATGGTATTCCTCACATATCGAATATAAATTGCATATCGATAGATTACTTGCCATTGCATTATCGGTTTCTTGTAATAGTCTATTTTCCTCTTCAACAAGCTCGCAATTAAAATGTTATTTCGCAAAATAAAACGAGATGAAGTCTTATTTCTATTTTGAAGATATGGATTCATTATGAAAATTATACTAAATTTTATTTGACCAAAAAATTATAATGTAAATCAATATGCAATAAAATAATTCAAGCACTCTTATTATGTTTCAAATCAAATCCTATAAACATAATATCCTATGAATAATATATTATTCTATAATATATTATCTACATGAAATCTTTTGCGATTATACATTATTTAATTATCAGAGTTTAACGTAAAATCTGGAAATTTAATTGAATCAAATAAAATTATTTGGTTTAATAAATTATTCTCACTACATTCTGTACAGTCATAATGCATCTCGTGAAACAATATCAGCAAAATTTATTAATCTTTTTTTTGCAATAAAAATAACTTGCAATAAAAGTAAAAAGAGCATTCGTCGGATCTATGGAACCATTATTTGTATAAATCCGATTCGCGTCATCCATCAGACAGCCATTAGACCATCGGCACGATGTGATCGTGACGCGTTCGCATGCTCGTTGGACGTTTAGTGGGTCATCTAATGGACACTGACGCACTTTTTTCGCGCAACCCTTCGTTCATCATGACTATCCGTCGAGCGCATACAATACAGCCCGCGAAAAAGCTGACGAACGTTTATACAACGTGAGAAGAATATTGCTCCTAGTCACGTCTTTCTGTCTAGTCCACTCACGTAATGACGAGAAAGCAAAAAAAGAATAGAAAAAACGTGCACGTGTTGCTTTACTCGTAATAACGAAATAATAAACATGAGATAAAAAGGAAACGGAATAAAAGGGTTGACTCCCTGTAATAAGCGCCAAAACGTACCGAGGGATAGAGAAAAAGGAGGGAAAGATAATATTAATTTTTCATTAATTTGCAAAAAACTGAGGACGCGTACGAGCGCAGATTTCGTTCTTTCCATTATAAGAAAAAAAAATTCTAGGTACAAACGAAAAATTACACAGGCCTGCAAAAAAAGGGATCAAAATTTCTTTTTAAGATGTAATAGTGATTTTTGACGTAATTTTGTGCGCTGAATCCGAATCTGGCCGCCGAATTTGCGTAGCAAAGGGCTTTTTGAGTTATTGTAGTTGGATAGCACAAAAATCGCTATTTTGGCCAATTTCATGAATTTATTGTGAGTAAACCAAATTTTTTGAAATATTTCTGTCAATAGTATCGTATAGTACTCACTTTCATCTTTCGAATCCACTTTCGATTACCGTCGCACGATATTTTTTCGCTCAGATATACAAGTTATAAGACTGGTCATGCATAGGGATTTAATAAGCCATTCTAAATCAACCGTACCACTTCTCTATCTCACTACGAATCAAAATTAGGGTAAAAATATACATTTTTAAATACCTTCTGTCACCTTTTGAAATTAAAAATGGCGCATCCAATATGGCGCATAAAATTTAGAAAAATTTATCAAAATGTGTAACAACTGTATTAGGCATTTCTTTACAATATTTTTTTAGCCAACCGAACCTGATATATGTCAGTCTTTTCAAATTTCAAGATCATGGATCTACCATATTGATGTCTATATAAATTTTCTTACAACGTCATACTTATATATCTCAGCGAAAAAAAATCGTGCGGCGATAATCGAAAGTGAATTCGAAAGATGAAGGTGAGTACTATATGATGTCATTGACAGACATATTTCAAAAAATTTGGTTTTCTCGCAATAAATTCATGAAATTGGCCAAAATAGCGATTTTTGAGCCATTCAATTACAAATTACTCAAAAACGTGACGTGTTACGCAAATTCGGCGGCCAGATTCGAATTCAGCTCACAAAATTACGTCGAAAATCACTATTGCAGCTTAAGAAAAAAAACTTTGCAGACCTGTGTTATAGGAATAAAATATGACGTACAAAAGATATTAAAGATTAACTAATGGCATTTCAAGCACACAGGGTTAAAGAGAATTGAATAACGCGTTCAAGACGGAATTTCAAAGCCGCATTTACCGCATAAACACAGAATTGTGTGATGCGAATATGCAACACGATTCTATAGACGCTCGAGTGCCGGCAGGGGCTTATGCTGGTAATCGTGCTTTTAGCACCAATATGCCGATTGAACGCGGGCGGGCGAGATTGTAGCCGGTAAATTAAGGTTAGCGAAGATGAAGGTAATGGTGGACGCGGTGAAAGGAAGGAAGAGAGGAGAATTTTTCATTGGAGTCAAAAGTTCGGCGTACTGAAAGTTTAATTTCCAGACTCCCTCTGAGCGCGATGGTGTGCGAGCCGAATGAAAAATCTCTCCTCCGCGTCTATACTACCTATGCCAAGCTACGTTGGTCCCTATCTCCCCCGCGGTCGGCCCTTGGTCGTGTCGCGCTCGCACTTTTTTCGTTCCCCGGCGAAGAAAGACGTTCCTTTGCCGAGCCGTTGACGATTAAATTCGATGGAAAGATGCCGGGGTGTGGGTGATTCGACCGAGACTTATTTCGCGGTTGAATCGAGCGACTATATCGGCACTTTCATCCACGTCGTCGAGATGTCAATACCGTCACTTACTGTGACGCTCTTGCGAGAGGCAATTTAATGTCTCGTAAACATTGAGCGTACGCTCCCGCTCACGAGACTTTTAAGTAACTGATTTTTGCTCAACATGATGGATTTCTCCATTGAAACATACATTTCTAATATTGAGACTTCATATATTTTTAGTTATTACCAATTTATACATTATATAGGGTGTTCCATTTTAATGTTCCCAAATAACTTTCTTATTTTTAATTTTAGAAAAAGATGTTTTAGACAAAAGTTGTATGGCTTGAAGGGGGACATAAGATGGTGCCATTAATTTGACCTTAAAGAGTCACCTGAAAGTCACCTCCAACTTTTTAAATGGGATACCTTATACTTTTACATATTCTTGTAGCTTGCCTCAATAGCTTTCCAAAACACTATAATAAAGTATTTTTTCATTGAGTACTTTTCGAGTTGTGAGGCTTGCAATAATTTTTTAATTTTACATAAATCCTAAAATATCTTGTAAAATATTCTTTTTTCGATTATTCTTACCTTAATACTTTTATGTACAAAATAATGAGAGAAATCAATTGGTGTAAAGAAAACATACAGTTGTTTTTAAGAAAAAATATAGAATTGTTAATTGCAAATTACATATTTTTTCTTAAAAACAACTGTATGTTTTCTTTACACCAATTGATTTCTCTCATTATTTTGTAAATAAAAATATTAAAGTAAGATAATCGAAAAATGAATATTTTACAAGATATTTTATGGTTTATGTAAAATTAAGAAATGATTTCAAGCCTTATAACTCGAAAAGTACTTGATGAAAAAATGTTTATTTATAGTGTTTTGGAAAGCTCTCGAGATAAGCTACAAGAATATGCAAAAATATATAGGGTGTTCTATTTAAGAAATTCAAAATGACTTTCACGTAACCTTCATGTGACTCTTTTAGATCAAACTAATGACAACCTTATGTCCCTCTAGAAATACAACTTTTGTCTGAAACATCTTTTTCTAAAATTAAAAATAAGAAAGTTATTTGGGGTGGGACATTAAAATGGGACGTTTCTACCTAATAACCAATTATCCCTCACATTCATGCGACTTTCGAAGAAATTTGCCAATATTTCTTCGGAAGGAATTGTGCTACGACCGCAGAGACGGGAAATGGAGGGCAAGAGCGTTTCAGGTTGTTACCGCGCTGGCAATTAATTCCGCGATATCTCGAGATTAGGCTAAAGATTGATGTTTAACTCCATTTTGTCTGTGCACTATTCAATACTTGGCTCAATTAATCAACGTGAAACGCCCACCAGTCCTTAATCTATGAGAGGCGCGGTTCGAAGCTAGCGGGCCACTGCCCTCCCCGAGGCTATCAGGGTGTAGGTTTTGCGGCAATACGTTCAGGGTGGTAACTGTAGCGTGGTACCACTCGTTTAAAACGCATTAGGGAGCGGGCGGACGGTGGTGCAAGTCCGTGGCCGCTCTAAGCACCGCAATTCCGCAGCTGCCGCAATTCTTGTTCGTGCTTTTTGATCGGGCGTCCATCAACGTCCGCGCGCTATTCACGTGGTCCACTCTTGTAATCGACCTCGATCCTCCTCGTGTTTCAGTGAGGCCCCTGAGCGTGATGATACTCAGCAGCGAACACGCGCCCCTCAGCGCGAATCGGAAATATGACATCAACTGCATGACAGTCGGCTCAAGGCCGCCGGCTGAACTGTCCTGGTACATGGATGGCAAGAGACTCGATAATTACACGAACAAGGTAAGGGCTGTATAGCTGATCGAGCGATACATTATTAGGATCTGTCACCGCGCGTGAGGGATATGTCTCGTATGCTTGTTAACATTACATGAAGACATAATAATATTGCATGCACTGAGAAAAATCGTTTGATTGTATTAACAAGACATATATGATTGAAGGCATTTTGATTAAATCAAACAAGAATTTCTAGTTATCATGATAAGATTCGATTTTTCATAACTAGAACGTTTAATAGATTTTATTATAAGGATTTGGTTAGTATTTTCTGGTTGGATCTATAAAATTTCTTGTTACATTAATTTCTTTGCTTGTTTCTTAACTCGTATTCAATATTTGTCATAAAATGTATATAAAGAACTAGTATTAACATTAAGGATGGGCGATTTTTCCAAAAAAATCGATTTTTTGGATCAATCTAGATCGGAGACTTAAAAATCAATTCGCCAAAAAATCGACTGTTAAAGAATCGATTTATCAGAAATCGATCTCTTTATTTAATTTTATAAAATATTAAATATTTCCAATCGTATTCAATTATTTTTCTCATTCAATTGCGATTGGTTAATTTTTTACAATTCCTTACATTATATAAAGAAAAATTATGAATTAAAGCCGGGTCTACAATAGATAACTTAAGCCTTAAGTCTTAAGAAATTGACCAATCACACTCGAGTATTCTTTCAAATATTCTCTTCATATTTGACTGTGATTGGTCAATTTCTTATGACTTAGAGCTTAAATTACCTATTGTAGACCCGGCTTTAAAGTAAAGACTAAATTTGCTTTCAACTAAATTTGTATAAATACTATGCACACATATACGAAAAATTAAGGCGTAATATGAATTTTATACTTTTATTTTTTAGGATTGATCTCTAATCTTAAGAATCGATTCACTGGATTAATCGAAGATGTAAGATCGATCTAAAAAATCGAGAATCAGATATAAAAGAATCGATTCTTCAAAAGATCGATTCAAGATCGCCCATCCCTAATTAACATTAAATCCAAAGTATATTTCTTTTTCTCTTACGAGCAGTAGTGCCAGAAAGAGGACTAGCTCTCTGTGTGTGTTTGAGCTGCATCCTCTTCTTGCGTCACTGTTTATCAGTTTAATTTCTAACAAACTGAACTTAAAATAATTTATTCAATAATCTGGATTGAATGTATTCAATAATCTTGTTGGAATTTAGAATATTAAACAGACTTTTGAGATTAGATGGAAAACATTTTAGACGACTTGGTGTTGGGGAGTTTAATATTATTAACCAGAAAATTTGATAAATTTAACAGGAAGAAATTAATCAGATTCATCTGGTAATTCCTACAAGAATTCTGGTTTCTCCATTTTCCAACAGACATATTGGTTGAATCTACCAGAATTCTAATTAATGCAACCAGATTTTTTCTCAGTGTGAATGTGTGAGTGGTCTAAATATTTTAGCTCGTCATGTATCTTTTGACATCTTTCGTATCTTATTAATATGTTAATTTATTCTTTAAAGAAAAAGATAATTTTCTCCTCAATTTTTCTTTCAAAAAACGCTTAAAAAGGTTTGCTTGGCAAAACTATCACAACTTGTACTTTTATTTAGGATGATCACTTTGTTTCTGCACGTGTGATTTCATACAACTGTAACTGTTTCGAGTGCCAAAAACGCGATATTCGATATTCGGTTTTCGATCCTATTGATAAAATACCGCGGGAGTAAAATTAATGTGTGACAACCGTCATAGGCGAAATGCTAGTAGAAGGGGAAACAAACGACACGAACCATAAAATAATTTCCTATTCTGCGCTTTCGTGCCAAAATGTAGAGTGAAAAACAAAATGATACATCGTAGCCTATATTTCCTTTTCATCACCTAACTCGCTAATGTTATCATCGACACCGAGAAGATCGATCTCCATTATCTCCTCGCGTCACGTCGATATTTTATTTGTAATATGACGTATCTCTATGAAATTTATGAAATTCTTATTCATGGTGGAAATAACTCTAATACCTCATGTAAGGGATGATTCACGCCAACTTGTCGGTGTGAGATAATTCAACGTCGACATAAAAAAAAAAACGACGTCTTCGTCGTCGTTTCCTGCGACAAGGGAAAAAAACAATCGGATTCCGTCTCGGGGAGATTTAATGCGGCCGAAAAAGCGCGCGATTCGGAAGACGTACGCGGCATCTCCTTCGAGATGCCCGTTTCCCCACAAAATCACTGACATTAGCGCCGGTATCGGTATTTGCATCGTTGCCATTAAGCTCCCCCTCCGACACGCCATGGCGCAATTACCGGATAGCGGCGATGCCTTTCGTGATCTCTCGCTCCCGCTCTCGCGACTCGCCCCCTCGTCTCTATCTCGCGTGCGCGTCTCCCCCGCTCTTTGATCCTAACATCACGGGGAAACTCCTTCGTACGTACTCGAACTCTCGGGCGAGCCATCGATCTACGCCCGTCTTGCGTTTCCGCGGCGCAAACTCTTCCTGAAACGTGATTCTTTGACCCAACCGCCCCCAAATTGCATCTCGAATCTCGATGTACACGCCGCTCGAGTCTCTCGCAACTGCCGCTTGTAAGTTTTCTTTTTTTTTTTTTCAAAAGTTTTTCTTTCGGTTCGAACGGTAAACGTACGTGATTGAATCATTGTACAAAGAATCGGTTCATTTTACGAACGAACGGAATAGATTAATCAATTTTCTCTTGGAAGAGAAAAGTGTGATATCAAAATATGATATTGAATTGGAAATATTCAAAAGAATTACATTTCTTTAGTTTTAGCAAATTTAGGTGCAATATATATCTCATAATATTTTTATACGCACTATCTAAAAGTCAGTGTATTATTACTGAAGTCAGTGTATTATTACTGAAAAACAGTAAATAGTCACTGATTACAGCAGTTATAAGTATAACACTGTAAATCAATGATATTTTATTGAAAGAATCAGTTAATAATTTTAACTATTTCAATCAGTAATATTTCTTTCGTTATTGTCAGTAATATTAAACTATAATTCATCTCTCTATCTATTTCATATAAAATTAAAAATTTTATTTATATTTACTAAATATTTATTATATTAAAAATTTTATTTTATTTATATTACATGCATATTGAACTTGTTATTTTAAGTAGATAACAAACAAATAATTTTCATTAAGTCGACAGACATTTACTTGTCCGACTTATAAAGATCGATTTAATATCTGAAGCCTCTTTATGAGATTGTATCAGAAATTAAATCGAAGTAATACTTCTAATTTTAAATGTCGCTCTTTGCAAACTTTATATAATTCTTATAACTAAAATTAAATACGAGAGAGATAACGATTGTAGCGGTAAATGAACGAACTAGCAATTACTGATTTTACAGTAAAATTTACTGATTTTACAGTGAATTTTATTTTAACTGACCATAATCAGTGAAATATAAGATAAAATAACAAAAAAATAAGCGTTTCCACTGAAGATCAGTAAAATACTCACTGATTCTCACTGAAATCTTATTTTACTGTTTAAATTAGTGATATTTTCACTGATTCACTTTTAGAGAGCATATACAAGTGCAATGTTCGATATGTTTTGATTTAATCTGCGCAGTCAAATATTTTTGCTTTTTCTCCCTCAATTAATTGGATAAATTGAGTGATGGACGTGAATTTAAGAGATTTGACATTAAGGAGATCCATCTGATCAAGGAATAGTTCAAAGTTATCTAATATAGACGGTACACACGTAACTAATTGCATCTCGAATCTTGATGTACACGCCATTCGAGTCTCTCGCAACTGCCGCTTGTAAGTTTTCTTTTTTTTTTTTTTCAAAAGTTTTTCTTTCGGTTCAAACGGTAAACGTACGTGATTGAATCATTGTACAAAGAATGGGTTCATTTTATGAACGAACGGAATAGATTAATCAATTTTCTCTTGGAAGAGAAAAATGTGATATCAAAATATGATATTGAATTAGAAATATTCAAAAAAATTACATTTTTTTAACAAATTTAAGTACAATATATATCTCATAATATTTTTATACGCATATACAAGTATAATGTTCGATATGTTCCGATTTAATCTGCGCAGTCAAATATTTTTGCTTTTTCTGCCTCAATTAATTGGGTAAATTGAGTGATGAACGTGAATTTGAGAGATTTGACATTAAGGAGATCCATCTGATCTAGGAATAGGACAAAGTTATCTAATATAGACGGTACACGCGTAACTATGGAGCGATGGACATCATCCATCATTCGACGACTTGTCAATAGTTCTATGACAGATTCGAATGTTGGTAGAAATATATAGTGTGTTTAATATAGGACAATACAAGCACGTATAATTAAATTTTTATCTACTATTATTATCATCTTTTCACTATTTGTGTCATGCTTAAATTTTTAACACGCTATTGTGTAAAATATAAAATTGTATAAAATTTTAGCTTCTTAGATTTTACATTAATTTTGAAAGATAATTTTCTAAATTTCAGATTGTAATCGTTTTTCTTTTAAATTCTAAAAAATTTTTTGAATTAAAATTTAGTAGACTTTCATTAGAAAAAGATCATAATTTTGAAACAAATTAAAACTTATTTGGACACTTGGCCGTTTTTGCAATCACAATGATGATGAAATTGCCATCGTATTTGAACTCTGATAGTAAAGCATTGGCTTTTATAAATTCATCGTTTTCGAGCGTTTTTCTACCAGAAAATTCGTCTAAAATACAATTCGTCGGAATAAATTAAAACGAATATTGAAAAACTAACTACTCTCTATCTATTCTCTTCATTTATCGTCTTATCCATGATTCTTTTGAAGAATTCGATTTCGCGCACTATTCAAATATTCCTCTGCAAACTACATTTTTCGTTTCGCGATCAAATTCACGTGACAATTTGCATGATATTATAGAAAAAAAATACGAACATAATTATTCAATTGCAAAAATTTCTAATAAATTAATGATTAAAGAATAAATGGAGCAACCATAAAAATAGACCGATCTCTGCGGGAATTTCGCGTAACGTCATTCTCATTCCGTGCATAATCGAGATGCGGTAAAACTTCCCGAATGAAAAATGAGCGCGGGCCTCGCTGCCATTCGTATGCGTGAATTTTGCAATAACGATTCGCCGATCCGATCGATCTCGCGTGGGCGCGCGCTTGTGATCGACGATGATCCGCCGCAGTGGCGGAGAGATTCAAAGGGCTGATATTTTCCGCCGCAAATAACGATCACGTTGTTGGTCGGTGCCAGGCAGGCGGCATCCAGTTCTGACACGTTCGCGCTATCTCGCGTTATACGTCATAATATCGCGGTGTCGAATGAAGTTCGGTACCGGCAGACATATCGAGGGATGGCGAACAGAGGAAGAGAGACAGAGAGAGAGAGAGAGAGAGAGAGAGAGAGAGAGAGAGAGAGAGAGAGGAGAGAGAGAGAGAGAGTGAGAGGGCAGAAAAAGCTAGGGGCGAAACGGAGAGGATAGGAAGAGAGGGTGGATTGTGGACAGTATAGTTGGCAGTGGGTGATTCGACTTTGCCGATTTATGACCGCTGCGCGAATTTCGGGCCAATTTCGTCCCGGCTCTGCCGTCCCCGCATACGTACACTGCGGTACAAAAGTTTCAATCTCTTCATCCGCAATCTGTATCTGCTTGTCAAGAAATTGCATATCTATTGGAAAGAGCATTGAGCGAAATGCAGGAATAATCGTAATTGTAAATGTGCTCTCAATGAAATTAATTACCCTAAATAAATCGGGTTTTTTGCTATTTTCTGTTACTTTAATGATAAAAGAACATGTAAAAACAGCTTAGTAGACATAAATATTTATTATATAAGTTCTATACATAAACAAACATAAAAAAACGATGATTTTTTCGAAAAAATTCATTATTGACGAAGTTGAGATAATTTGAAATTTGGTATGGCATGATTTTTGGGGTCGCTGATTACGATTCCGACTTCAAATTTACGGAATTGAAAAAAAAAATTAAAAAAAATTTTAAAAATGGAGCTACAACTCCGCGATATTGGATCCGCCATTTTGAATTTCAATTTTCTGACAGCGGATTCGAATTCAGCGATCCCAAAAACCCCTGTATACGAAAATTCTTGAGAATTCGTCAACTACAAAAGTGTGTGCCTCAAAGGGTTAAGATGGGACTAGTTTAGTATCTTCTTTCTTTTTTAAGGTACTTGTGTGTGTGTGTGCGCTTTTCTCGCTTCATTATTACGACCCATACTCTTGCCACTTACCTGCATTTCTGCGAAAGTACCTGAAATATGTTGCGTGCCTTTTTTAAAACGTATTAACATGATTTTAATCGCGCTCTTAAGGGAATTGCACGGTTGCAACTTTAATATTTTTAATGGGACGAGAGATACGTATATAATAGTTTACTAATCGCAGCGTTTTTATTACGTGCATGAAACCATTTTTTCTTACTTAAAAAATGCGAAAACTTGTATTATGTATACAATACGATTCTGATAAATTATCTAAATACATCTCAATATAAATTTTACTGAAACTACGTAAAAAATAAAAATATGTGTGTGTGCGTGCTTTAAAGAGATATAAATCATACATTGACCTGGTAAACGTAATTTTACATATATAAACCTTTGATACATAAATTGCTTTTTATCTTGCAAAACTTCTTGATTGAAATTTCTGAAATATTAAAAATCTCGAATTTAAAAAATTTTAAATATAACAAAAATATTTTTGGAGATTTAAGGTATACTTTTTTAAGAGTTATTGTGTGTAAACACGAATCCTCTTCAAATTTTTTTGAAGTAATAATTTTGAAGCGATAATTTATTTTCATATTTATAAAATTTATATTTTAAAAGCAATATTAATTAATATTCTCGATAAAAGCAATTAAATTTTCACATTTACGATAATTAAATATCAATATATTTTTTTATTCAGTGTTATTGAAGATTTGAGTCAATATTAAGCTCAAAAAAATTTTGATTTAAAATTATTTTATTATATATGATTTCAATTTTATTGATCATATTCTACAAACAATAAGATAACACGAGTTATCGAGAAATAATTATTAGAAATATTTAATCAAGAAAGTGATTAAGTTTATTACAAATAAATGTATCTATTTTACGATACAAAAGCATTAATGTAAGCCTTTGATTTGGAGACTGCTAATTTAGAGCCATTCAATTAGCTTTGAGAAGCCATTAACCTGACCGATATCGAGCGAAGACGAGGTTGCAAACATGATTATGAGATAGTTCGTTGTCACTCTCATCATTGCTGCACGAATTTATCGCAGTTTCAGTAGAAGAGAGAAAATTGTTTAACTGTATTTGCATCAAAATTGAATTGCGCTCTAATCTAGATCTGATAATTTCGTTATCCAATAGAAAATTTGTGTTAAGTCGTAGAAAACGGGAAAGTTAAATAAATGATAAGAATAATCATATCATAGCTTTAAGTTGATTTTAATTGAGCTAAAAATGTTATTTAATCATCACTCAATTATTAACATTATTAAATTTATTAAAATCATATAATTTTATTTCTCTCACAGCATATACAAATTTGAAAATAAAGATTGTAATAATTATTTTCCCTAAAAATTGTAGATTATAATAATTATTTTCCCTAAAAATACTTTTCCGATAAAAATGAAAATTAATTTTATTCCCGCAGATCAAATTGTATAATAATTATATAATTATATAATAATTGAACAATGAAGATCGACGTCATTTAAATTATAAAACTTAGAATACATAGATCTCAATACATTTTTGAATATATAATTCGAATCTTAAACTCACGAACTTACGAAAGCTATTATGAGCTCGATATTTTTCTATTAGGATGCTTGACTTTAATTAATCTATAGAATATGCTATTAAAATATCGCACAGTGTTTGTCTTGTAAATACTTTCTATGCATTCTTGCTCATAAAGGAAGATTGCGCGTGAGCGTTAAAGGATATGTGGTCGTGTATAAATGTTTGATAATTACATGTTTTCCGACAAGACACCTACGTCTCGTGTAGATTTACAGAAGCTGGTTTCGTGCCGGTTACGTCAAAGTTACATTCACCCGCGTAGGTAAGGGGGTGAAATACTCACGTGAAAGCCAGGTCCTATTACACCACCTGCAAAGGTGGGTGATAAACGCCTTCTCGACTGACTCGTCCGGTCATTAAGACTTATCGCCGGATTAACGCTTATAAGGCCTTACCTCAAACGCGCGAGTAGGAATAATTACACCCGCTAGGAAACTGTATCATCTTTTGACTCGAAGTTATCTTTTTAATAAAATTCTTGAAAAAATTGTTTCAAAAAAATTACGCTATTGTAATTTTTTATATAAATATGTTTATTTTATATATTTTATATAAAATATAAAAAAATTCATATTAAAAAGTATATTTTATATAAATATGTTTTTTAATTCCGATTTTATTGACCATATTGTACAAACAATAAAATAACAACACGAATTATTGACTATAATTATTAGAAATATTTAATCAAGAAAATGATTAAGTTTATTACACACAATAAATGCAATATCTCTTTTATGATACAAAAGCATTAATGTGAGCTTGTGATTTGGAGGCTGCTAATTTGAAGCTATTCAATTAGCTTTAAAAAAGTTATACTATGGCGTATATTTTATAATCGCAAAACAACCGAAACATATACGGTAGCTTGTCTTAGCCGATTATAATTAGCTTTTCATTCACAACGGCCTCAAGTTATAAAATGTATCATATTTCTGCATCTGCTATACGTGATATCTGGCGTCGACATTAATTAGCAGCGAAACTTTAATGAAACGCTTGCAAATTAATGTACGTAACAATATGTGCAAAATAATAAATAAACAAAATGTTGGTATGCAGTATCATAACTGATAATAGGTGGATATATCTGATTTGCTGTCGCAAATTGTTCATTTATCGCTATTAACAAAACAGATAACGCGTTCATATTAAGCATTAGCATTAAGTACACGTGATCTAATTACTCGTGCGCGATGCGCACTTTAATAAGCGCGCTATAGCAAAAAATATCGGGAATGCAATTAACGGATGCGGCATAAGGCACATTAAAATATGTAACGCATAATTATAATTTCGATATATCGATTATGAGAATAATTTTATATAAATCCGATACTCTCTGAACCCGCGCCAATATATAAAATTTAATACGATGCATAATTAATAGCTTTATATTATCTTATCTTATAATAATTGCAACTGCACAAAGTACCTTCTCTCGTTAATCGATAGGTAATAATTGCGTTAATAATAATAATAATAATAATAAAACGAATATTGTGACTCGATTTCGTTGCAGGTTTCTCAGGATGGTAACATGACGAGTTCCATCTTGACGTTTCAACCCACTCTACTAGACCACGATAAAATTATCACGTGCAGGGCTGAGAATCCTAAAATTCAACGGGGCATAGCAGAGGATACATGGAAACTGAATGTTTTTTGTAAGTATAACATCCTCACGTGCAAGGTACAAATGAAGACAGTTGCACGTAAGCGATGAAACTTGAAGATTCTCCAGTAATTTTCACAAAACCCCGCACGATCGCTCGATGTTCAGCGATTACTAATTATGAGACGGACATGTTTTGTCTTGTATGTATCAATAATAATAATAACAATAACATAATACGCGGGCGTTTCATTGAATATTATTCCCGACGACATTACTACCGTCTGCATAATCAGAATAATTATGATACATATACATATATGATATTTGTACAGGCAATATAAAAAAAATTGGACGAGGATAATATCAGATCACAAACCAATAGCCGGGGTAGACCACGAGTTTACATACTCGTAATAGCAACATGATACGCTCTGCGGAGCCGGCATTATTATCACCGATATCATTATTCATTAACACACCGCCGTCAATATTATGCGAGCGCGCCAACAATGCTCCAGATTCAACATTATTACAGGACAATAACTCGCAATCATTTCTCTCCTTTATCCCTTGCCGCGCAATAAAAACAACCGAGTAAAGAATATTTCTCAGCGTATAATAAACGCGCGATATTCGCATTTTATTTTTATACGATACTATGAAAGTAAACACAGGTCTCATCGGGAATGAAATTGTTACGCGTACTGCAAACATTTCTATGTTATCCTAGCAAAAATTTCACTTTAGCGGGCTTGCGCTCCGACTATATCCGTCTGGAATTCTCTTTTTCCTTGTAAAGGACATAAAATATATATATATATATATATATATATATATATATATGTGTGTGTGTGTGTGTGTGTGTGTGTGTGTGTGTGTGTGTGTGTATGTATTTGAGAATATAACACCGACAGCACAAGCGAAAACAAACAAGTTTTGAAAATTCGAATGCGAATTGTCGCGCGTTAAACGCGCGCATCGCCGCGTAAAAACAAATTGGCAGTGATTCATCAAGTCCTAAACTCATAAACGCGTGTCGCTCTTCGCGCAATCGACACATCGAAAAATCCGCGTGCACGGCATACAGCCGCGTCCTCCCGTGCACGTATATACGTATGTATATATGTATGTATGCATCGGGTAACGGGTAAACGGGTTAAAAGCCTGGCAGGCCGAAACAAGACCGTCGATATAGATTACGTTCGTGCAAACGCGAATGTAATCACAATAACGAGACGTCAACGACGGCGACCAAAATGGAACGTCCGCTGCGACGGCGATTTATTCGCTTGCGACATCCCGCGAATTCGAAAACCCCGATGCAAGGCAAGGCGAGTCTATTGTGTTTTCGATAAACAAGTTTATATCTTTGCAAATCAAGATTCGTAGATTACACAGACCTGCAAAAAAGAGGTTCAAAATTTCTTTTTAAGATACAATAGTGATTTTTGACGTAATTTTGTACGCTGAATCCGAATCTGGCCGCCGAATTTGCGTAGCGTCACGTCACGTTTTTGAATTATTTGTAGTTGAATAGCCCAAAAATCGCTATTTTGGCCAATTTCATGAATTTATTGTGAGTAAACCAAATTTTTTGAAATATTTCTGTCAATGGCATCGTATAGTACTCACCTTCATCTTTCGAATCCACTTTCGATTACCCCCCGCCGCACGATTTTTTTTCGCTCAGATATACAAGTCATAAGACTGGTCATGCATAGGGATCTAATAAGCCATTCTAAATCAACCGTGCCACCTCTTTATTTCACTACGAATCAAAATTAGGATAAAAATATACATTTTTAAACCTTCAGTTACCTTTTGAAATTAAAAATGGCGCATCCAATATGGCGAATAGAATAAAAAGGCATAAAATTTAGAAAAATTTATCAAAATGTGTAACAACTGTATTAGATATTTCTTTACAATACTTTTTTGGACAACCGAACCGGACATATGTCAGTCTTTTCAACTTTCAACATTATGGATCTACTATATTGATGTCTATATAAATTTTCTTTAACGTAAATTTTTTTACAATGTCATACTTATATATCTCAGCGAAGAAAAATTGTGCGGCGGTAATCGAAAGTGGATTTGAAAGGCGAAAGTGAATATTATACGATGCCATTGGCAGAAATATTTCAAAAAATTGGTTCCCTCGCAATAAATTCATGAAATTGGCCAAAATAGAGATTTTTGAGCCATTCAATTACAAATTGCTCAAAAACGTGACGTGCTACGCAAATTCGGCGGCCAGATTCGAATTCAGCTCACAAAATTACGTCGGAAATCATTATTGCATCTTAAAAAGAAAAACCTCGCAGGCCTGTGTTATATTAGTAGTTGCTGGAAATTTAATTCTCCGTGAAGATAATAATTAAAATTGAATAGAGGTAAGCTTTATGTGTTTTAACCCATTCAGACCTGAATTTTTTCTGCAATGTAAAACATTATGTAATTAATTTTTATTGATGCTAAGGATTTAAAACGACGAGATATATATATATTTTTTTGAGATATATATATTATTTTTTCCACCGAGAGATCGCAGGGAAACTAATTCTAAAAAATAACTATTTCAAATGATTTTAAAGTTTTTGTGCATAATTGTGCACAAGAGTCTGAATGGGTTAAAGAATTTTGATCGACATTGAATAAAAATGAAAAATATATAAATAATTTGATTTTGTAAATAAATTTTTTACGCGTGAATAATATGTGAATTTATAATTTTAATGCCCTCACATATACGCACATATGAGAAGTCTGTTTCTAATTATTTTTTTTTAATACTAGATAATTTTCTGTCATCTTTCCTATAACAATTTGAGAAAATTTCGACTTGTTTGAATCTTGTACATGTTTTTTTCAATTTTTAATTGTCTAGATGCGCGGATATTGATTTATTGGCATTTATTTATACGAAATAGTATTTATAATAAAAAATAATATTTAAATAATATTTATAAATTACGAAAATAAATAAATAATAGATAAATAAATAGAGATAAGATATAAATAATTAATAGATTGTTTCAATAACTTATGTTGCATATTTTCTCGTTACAGTTGTTCCAATTCTGCATCTACAACTCGGTTCGAATATGAATCCGGATGACATCGAAGAAGGCGATGACGTATATTTCGAGTGCAAAGTTCGTGCGAATCCGGATGCCTACAAAGTCGTGTGGAAGCATAATGTAAGTAAAATAATTAAAAAAGTTTTTCTGCACCTATATTGTAAATATTATATATTGGTGCATATTGTATAAATACAATTTTAATATACTGTTTACAATTTTAAATCGGGAAATATAATAAAAATACAATATTATTTAAGAATAATGGATCAATAGATAATAGATGTATAAGTTGAGTATGTGCGTGTGTGTGTGTGTGTATGCGTGTATAACACAACATAACAAATCGAGAAAGCTCAAGGCTTGAATTTGAACAATGACCTCTGGATTCTCTCGAGTGATATATTTGCGCTTGAATAGTTCCGACTTTACCTAAAACTGTTAGTTCAGAATAATGGCTATTGCAGTCGAAACCGACAAATAGGAAACAAACTTTCTGCATGCCTAAAACCTCTGCTGCCTCTCTAAATATTACCTAACTTGCGGACCGTAATGTTCATCCGTTACACATAATACAATTACAAGAATCTTCCTTAATTTAATTTTAAATGCATCTCCCTTAATGTAAAAATTAGCTCGTTCTTTATCTTAATCAACTTTTTCCTTTATGCAAGAGGGACATGCTGAAAGTTTTTATCTTGCTGACCGTTTTGCGACCGTTTTCATTAGGATTATCGTAATGAGTTTTTTCTGAATAAAATATATTTAACCAATTTTATTTTTATGAATTTTATCTCGTAGAGAAACATTAAGTAATAGTTTTTCTCGACATGTGGTTTTTCTTCGCATGTAGCATGCGAAAACTTAATCTATCCTACTTCGAAAAAAGATCACTACTAAAAGCATACTACTCTTTAAAAGTGAATAAGTGTATTATCACTGAAAAACAATAAATAAACAATAAATAGTCACTGATTACAGCAGTTATAAGTACAGCACTGTAAATCAGTGATATTTTATTATATGAAAGAATCAGTTAATAACGTGACTGTTTCAATCAGTAATATTTCTCAATATCGGTAATATTTCTTTCGTTATTGTCAGTAATATTAAACTACAATTCATCTCTCTATTTTATATAAAATTAAAAATTTTATTTATATTTACTAAATATTTATTATATTAAACATTTTATTTTATTTATATTACATGCATATTGAACTTGTTATTTTAAAAAGATAACGAAATATTTTCGTTATAGCAATATATAAGTCGCTAAAAATTTTATTTATATTTACTAAATATTTATTATATTAAACATTTTATTTTATTTATATTACATGCATATTGAACTTGTTATTTTAAAAAGATAACGAAATATTTTCATTATAGTAATACATAAGTCGCCAGACATTTATCTGTCTGACTCATAAGATCGATTTAATATCTGAAGCCTCTCTATTGAGATTGTATCAGAAATTAAATCGAAGTAATATTTCTAATTTTATCTGTCGCTCTTTGCAAACTTTATATAATTCTTATGACTAAAAACTAAATACGAGAGTGATAGCAATCGATAAACGAACGAACTAGCGATTACTGATTTTACACTGAATTTTATTTTAACTGACCATAATCAGTGAGATATAAGATAAAATAACAAATTAAAGATCAGTAAAATACTCACCGATTCTCAGTGTAATCTTATTTTACTAATTGATAAGAAGAACAATGTCTTATTTTACTGTTTAAATTAGTGATATTTTCACTGATTCACTTTTAGAGAATACGGTATCTTAATTTAAATAGCGATGTAATTTTCTTTTACTACATCGACGCCATTTTTCCGTTTCCGTTATTCGCACATCTCATTATACGTCTCTTCTCTCTCCTCTTTTCCTGTTTTTCGTCGACATCTATTCACATTTTGCATTCTTGCTACCTTCGTTGTATTGTTTAATATAGTACGTTAGTTTAATATAGTACGTTTTATTATGACGTCCATAAATATGCTTTGTAAATACGCGAAATGACCAACTTTACCGATGTCGTCACAGCAGTTCATTAACTCAATATTAATAAAACCCCGTTTAATTAAGTAAAATCCCGCCGTCGTTCTAAGTGAAATACATCTACCGCCGAGTTATTTCCACATCGAATGTAAATGTTACAGAGGCTACAGATTATATTACACATTATATTGTTTTATAAAGTAAAGTACAATTTTACATTCTCTCCCTTTGTTCCGATAAATTTAATTATCAGTCGATTAATGTATAGATATCAAGATTAGTCTTGATATTGTCTTGTCTTGAATTTCAAGACAAGATCAAGACAAGATTTTTAATTAGTTATCAAGACAATACCAAGATTAAGACTGTTAAGATTATTAGTCTTGTCAAGATTATTGATTCTCAAAAAAACTAAAATATTTATATTTGTAAATGAAAAAAAACACTATATACGAAATTTAAAAAATTTTATTCAATAAAAACATTTATATATTAATAAATTTAAAAACATTTAATATTAATACAATGTAACATTTTTATAAATTAGAAATCAAACTCGCAAATTTTAGACATTAAAGAGCATTTTACCCAGGAATTGATGCACATTAGTGCTTTTAAAGATTTACTTTGTAATCTGGTTCTATTTTTTAACATAGTCAGAGTTCCTGTTAAGAAAAGTCTTTCTACTGACACGGACGAGGCAGTTGAACTTAAAATATTTCGAGCCAGTTTTGACAATGTGGAATAAATATGAACCTGATTTTTTTACCATTCCAAAATATTTATATCTGCACATTCCCTTGGAGCCTGTAAATAGTTATTAATTTCTGTTTTCCATGAAACAGTAAATGTTTTTTTATGTAAATAAACGACATTTATATCGATTACATAATAATAATTATAATCAAAATATAATACAATAGTAATAATTATTTCAAATTATATTACAAAAATTATGTTAAATATTATTTAAATAATTTTTTAATATTAAATAAAAAATTGTTAATAAAATCGAGACAAGACAATACAAGACGAGATTTTTGCTACCAATATTCACTTAAGACCAAGACAAGATTTAAATTTTTGAAAATTTTCAAAACCGATACAATATTTTTATGAATATTGTCTTATCTTGTGCAACCCTAATTCGTAAAACGATAGGCTGTTTTCCAAGTAGGCAACATCGGCGTACATTACCATGTAAATTGGGAATAATAACCAAGGCTGGTGAGAGACATCACGACGGTACTTGAATCTAATCGCGAATGCGTATTGTTCCAGGGGCACGTGATTCAGAATAATGCGAAGAATGGCGTCATAGTCCAGCAATATGGTTTGGCTCTCCGAGAGGTGAATCGGTCCCAAGCCGGAAATTACACCTGCGTCGCCAGCAACGTCGAAGGCGATGGCTACAGCAATATCGTGGAGCTTAAAATCATGTGTAAGTACCTATTATCGTTGATCGCGTTATTACTGGCGCTCTAAAAATGCACGCGATTCGATGTCGTTTCGATGAAAGATTTTATTCCGAGCAAATTCTCTTTCGATACCACTCGATCCTTTGTTGGAAATAACGTTTTTACCTCTTGGCTCTTGCTTTTTACGAAGCCGGCCTCGATTATTCCGTCTCGACTTTTCCGCCCGAAATCCTTGTAATTGTTTCAAAGAGGCACTCACAACGTCGCAGATATCTCAATGTAATGCAATGTAAACGATGCGGCGACGTAACCGATGACTGACATTTAAATAGCGACGTTATTAAGCGCCTTCTAGAGAATAGCTTTCAGGAGAATCGCGACTGTCTAGCCCCCGTAATTGGTCACCGGGCTTATGAGACTCGGAGGATATTACTCGTGAATAAACGTCAAACATCAAGATGTCGGCATGATTATTCATTAAAAACATAGTTGAAAGAGTTGAACGGCGGCCGGGATGGGAGGGAGAGGATTGGATGTAACGAAGAAAAATAGGACGATCCACAACGAACCAACAAATTATTCCGAACCGGCAAACTCCGATTTCCCTTCCTCCCTCCTTTCCTCCCTCCCGCCCCTCCTTCCCCCGTCCGGCCTTCGTTTGCGCCGCGAAAAATGGGGAAACTATTCGAGCGAACGGGCGAATAATGCCCATCGATCTTCCGTCGAAAAGCCGGGCGGTGGTCATTCCGCTTCGTGCCGCGTCCCTCCCTCTTCCTCGCGCTTTTAATAAATGCGTGTAAACTCCACAGCTCCGATCTGCATGTCGCATGCTGCAGTTTTCCCTCTGTCCGATGTATCATGAGAATCATATCTGCATTTATCTCGCCGGCATAAATTTTTATATCTCAATGATATATCCGTCAGGCATTTATTTAACGCACGCATAAGAAAGAATTTCTTAAAAGAAAATTCTTGAGCTCCTTCAGCCCGTAATTTTTAATATTAAAGACGAAAATACGAAAAATAACAATTACCTTAGTATGCTCGATGTAAATGAAAGAAAATAAATAATTTATAAAAATCAATAAATAATTAATAAAAATCAATAAATAATTTCAAAATGTTTTGTCCGCTGAAGAAACTAAAATTTTCAAACTTTGCATTTTCTGATAAACCATTACATTCACGGTACAATCACACTGAGAAAAATCATTTGATTGTATCAACAAGACGTGATAGAAAGCATTTTGATTAAATCAAGAATTTCTAGTTATCACGATAAGACTCGATTTCTTATAACTAGGACGTTTAATAGACTTTACTACAATGATTTGGTTAGTATTTTCTAGTTGGCTCTAAAAAACTTCTTGTTATATTAATTAAACATAGACACAGTGATGCCATTTTTGTTGTAAGTTTCTATCAAGAAAATCTGGTAAAAACAGGAAGAAATTAATGATATTCATCTGGTAATTCCTAAAGGAATTTTGATTCGTCCATTTTCCAACAGACATAATACTGATTGAATTTATCAGATTTCTAATTAATACAACCAGATTTTTTCTCAGTGTATTGATTAACCTTTCGTATCTCCGGCTTTCCCAGAAGAGATGCGTTTCATATAAAGTTTTATAGGTTTTTGGGGATACTGATTCCAAATTTTGACATCAAAATTTAAATTCAAAATGACAGATTTAATATGGCGACCATGAAAAGCTTAAATATCAATTTATTTAAAATATGAGCTTGGATTTTTGTTTTAAATATATATTATGGTTTTTCGGAATGTACACACACACACACACACATACGTTCGATTCATGTTGTACACTTTTTTTTGCAAGTCGCGCATCTGCCGTGAGACTTGGATGTCCGTCGCACGCGTCATCTTACTTCGCATACACTTTGATACACATATAAACTATGATATTTATTATAATAAAGATGTAACCACGTTTAAAGAAAAATTTAAGTTTATTATTAGCGCATAAATTCTATGATTTTTCAACATAATATACGGTTATTCTTCACTCTCTAAAAATTGTTTGCAAAGTTTAGATAATTATATTTTATTGTAAACATTATATTTCAAAGTGCGCGATTTTTTTACACGTAGCTTGAACCTTCTTCTTTAAAATAAGCCGAGGTAAAAGTTGGTAGGATTATTTGTTTAAAAGTTATGATTTTTTTCGTAGGTGAGACATATACGTGGGTCGTTTGATAAGTTTGGTAAATTTCCGTGAAATTGCGCCACAATCCATTTGATGACTTGTTGCTTATAAAGTTCCCTTTTTCGTACCCCTCCAAAAAAAATGTCAAAAGTAACGCGTTGTTTACGTTCGATAGTCATTTGAAGCGAGTGGTTTGGCTGATGTTATAAAAATGAAAAAAAGAACAAAAATTGGCAAAATTACACGAATTGAGTTTCGAATTAATTCCTCATCCATCATATTCTCCGGATTTGGTTCCCCGCGAATCCTTCATGTTTTCAAATTTAAAAATCTAGCTCGGTGAAAAGAAATTCTCGTTGAACGAGGAGGTTGTCGCCATCAATGAGTATTTTGCAAGTTTTGAGACAGTTTATTTTTTCGACAGTTAAAAAATTGGAATCTCGTTGGACCAAGTGTATAAACCTCAATGGAGACTATGTTGAGAAATAACGTAGATTTTTTTCCAAAACAATGTGTTTTACTTGCTTTTTTATCAAATTTATCAAACGATCCTCGTATGTCACGAAGGTACTCTCTAAAAGTGAATCAGTGTATTATCACTGAAAAACAGTAAATAGTCACTGATTACAGCAGTTATAAGTACAGCACTGTAAATCAGTGATATTTTATTGAAAGAATCAGTTAATAATTTTGACTGTTTCAATCAGTAATATTTCTCAATATCAGTAATATTTCTTTCGTTATTGTCAGTAATATTAAACTATAATTCGTCTCTCTATCTATTTCATATAAAATTAAAAATTTTATTTATATTTACTAAATATTTATTATATTAAAAATTTTATTTTATTTATATTACATGCATATTAAACTTGTTATTTTAAATAGATAACGAACAAATAATTTTCATTAAGTCGCCAGACATTTATTTGTCCGACTTATAAAGATCAATTTAATATCTGAAGCCTCTCTATGAGATTGTATCAGAAATTAAATCGAAGTAATACTTCTAATTTTAAATGTCGCTCTTTGCAAATTTTATATAATTCTTATAATTAAAATTAAATACGAGAGAGATAGCGATCGTAGCGGTAAATGAACGAATTAGCGATTACTGGTTTTACAGTAAAATTTACTGATTTTACAGTGAATTTTATTTTAACTGACCATAATCAGTGAGATATAAGATAAAATAACAAAAAATAAGCGTTTCCACTGAAAATCAGTCAAATACTCACTGATTCACAGTGAAATCTTATGTTACTGTTTAAATTAGTGATATTTTCACTGATTCACTTTTAGAGAGTACGCAAGGGTTAACAAAGTCGCCCATGCGACTTTTTTCTTCAGATAAACCGATCTGCGTGCCGGATCAGAAGCGAATTTACGGGGTGGCGAGACACGAAGATGCTCGCGTGATATGCAGAGTCGAGGCGTTCCCGCCACCGGAGAGTTTTCGTTGGGCCTTCAACAATACTGAGGAGATGGTCGACGTGCCCCAAGCGCGTTACAAGAATTCAACCAGACATACCGAGAGCGTTCTCACATACCGGCCGGTCACGGAAATGGACTACGGCACCGTGTTGTGCTGGGCGAGCAACACGGCCGGTCAGCAGAAGAATGCCTGCATATTTCACATCATTCCTGCGGGTATGTACGCACGTAGCGGCGTATGTCCTCTCTGAATCGCTAAGGATTTCCGGGAAAAGTTCCGGAGAAGCGTCCTGCGAAACGTGCATAGCGCGCGTTTCGCGACGCCCTGCCGGAACAACATTGTGTCCATCGCTAAATCAGTGTTTCGCAAATAATTTTCGTTGGGATGGAGAGAGAGAAGGAAGACTGTTAACAATGTTAATGATGCGTACAGGCAAACCGGAAGCTCCGTACAACTGCACGCTGACCAACCAGACCACCGAATCACTCTCAGTGGAATGCACCGCTGGTTTTGACGGTGGTCAGCCTCAACACTTCCTCCTTGAAGTGTTCGATCAGCACACGAGAGTTCTGCAAGCCAACGTCACGTCCAAAGATAATGCGGCTTTCACCGTACAGGGTTTAGAACCGGGGAAGGTTCTGAATATGATTCTGTACGCAGTGAATGCGAAGGGAAGAAGCGATCCCACGTTATTGGAAGGTTTCACGCTCAAAGTCGCCGAGAAGCAGACTGGTAAGTTGAGCTAGAAATATTTCGCAGAATGCGAAAATCTTCGGGAAGTGTTTCTTTCGCAAAGTTTTATTGAGATTATTGAGATTAGTGTCGAAGAAGCGCGTGAAAATATTAACTTTTTAAATGGCAACAAAATAATATGATCCGTCGAAGAATCTTTATATTCGTATATAACCGCACTGAGAAAAATCGTTTGATTGTACCAACAAGACGTATATGATTGAAGGCAATTTTGGTTAAATCAAACAATAATTTCTAGTCATCAAGATAAGACTCGATTTTTTATAACTAGGACGTTTAATAGATTTTACTATAAGGATTTGATTAGTATTTTCTGGTTGGATCTATAAAATTTCTTGTTGCATTAATTTCTTTGCTTGCCTCTTAACTTAACTCGTCTTCAATATTTGCCATAAAATGTATATAAAGAATTAGTATTAACATTAAATCCAAAGTATATTTATTTCTCTTACGAGTAGTAGTGCCAGAAAGAGGACGCTATCTCTCTGATTGTGTGTGTTTGAGCTGCATCCTCTTCTTGCATCACTGTTTATCAATTTAATTTCTAACAGACTGAATTTAAAATAATTTATTCAATAATCTAGGTTAAATTTATCCAGTAATCTTGTTGGAATTCAAAATATTAAACAGACTTGATGGAAAAAATTTTAGACTTGGTGCTGGAGAGTTTAGTATTATTAACCAGAAAATTTGATAAATTTAACAGGAAAAAATTAATCAGATACATCTGATAATTCCTACAAGAATTCTGATTCGTCTATTTTCCAACAGATATACTGGTTGAATCTACCAGAATTCTAATTAATGCAACCAGATTTTTCTCAGTGCATGAAATATATATAAAGAACTAGTATTAATATTAAATCCAAAGTACAATATATTTATTTCTCTTACGAGTAGTAGTGCCAGAAAGAGGACGCTATCTCTCTGATTGTGTGTGTTTGAGCTGCATCCTCTTCTTGCATCACTATTTATCAGTTTAATTTCTAACAAACTAAATTTAAAATAATTTATTTAATAATCTGAATTGAATTTATCCAGTAATTTTGTTGGAATTCAAAATATTAAACAGACTTTTGAGATTAGATGGAAAAAATTTTAGACGACTTCGTGCTGGAGAGTTTAATATTATTAACCAGAAAATTTGGTAAATTTAACAGGAAGAAATTAATCAGATACATCTGATAATTCCTACAAGAATTCTGATTCGTCCATTTTCCAACAGATATACTAGTTGAATCTACCAGAATTCTAATTAATGCAACCAGATTTTTTCTCAGTATATGAAATGTATATAAAGAACTAGTATTAATATTAAATCCAAAGTATATTTATTTTTCTTACGAGTAGTAGTGCCAGAAAGAGGACGCTAGTTCTCTGATTGTGTGTGTTTGAGCTGCATCCTCTTCTTGCATCACTGTTTATCAGTTTAATTTCTAACAGACTGAATTTAAAATAATTTATTCAATAATCTAGGTTAAATTTATCCAGTAATCTTGTTGGAATTCAAAATATTAAACAAACTTTTGAGATTAGATGGAAAAAATTTTAGACGATTTGGTGCTGGAGAGTTTAATATTATTAACCAGAAAATTTGGTAAATTTAACAGGAAGAAATTAATCAGATACATCTGATAATTCCTACAAGAATTCTGATTCGTCTATTTTCCAACAGATATACTGGTTGAATCTACCAGAATTCTAATTAATACAACCAGACTTTTTTCTCAGTGTATAACAATGTTGCTTAGATTCAAAATTGATGGCACTAATGATGATCGACAATATCCGAGTCAGGTAGCTTCGAGGTCTGATGTTATCGATCGACCTACGTCATGGAAATAAGTAATTTGATAGAAGCGTCCGAGCAAATTATTGGCGCAACGCCTATAAATTATGAGAGTAGCCGGGAGGATGTTGGATTAATCGAATTAGTGAATTAAATTGAACGGAGCCGTGCGGATTGTCCCGTGTAACATTTTAATCCGTTCAGCCGGCCCGAATCCCCGAGTCGAACACGATATACCGTCTCGTCGTTTCTCGCGGCTAAAGACCTCATGGACCATACGAAAGGTTTCACGGCGAAAATTGAGCACCCGAATCGACTAAATTGAATCGGCAGCACACAAACACATAAGCACGCGCGATCACCTGGATGGATATTACACAGGTTTACGTCTACGTTTGAGGGTGCATATGTGTGTGTACGCGTGGCACGTGGATTGTTCTACGGAACGGCCGTTCTCTGCGAATAGTAATCTATTCCGACGTTTTCCAATCCACTTACACGAAACGGTTTCGGCCAAAAATTGACGGCGACCCTGGCGGTGCGTAAAACGCTACGGCCAGATTTCCAGAGGGTCCGCATAGTTATATTACTCCCTTTCGAAATACGAACGTCTACGTGGCTCGTTGAACCGATGGCGGTGCTTATTTCCTCGACCCGATGCCAAGGAAACTCTCGGCAGAAAGACGGAGAGAAATCTCTATTCCGAGGAGATGATAATATTTGCAAAGCGCAAGCAGTCAGAAACAGATATATCATGAGTAATTACGAGAATTAATCTCGCCGTCCACCTGTAATTACTAAAGTGGGAAAGATCTATGAGAACCGCGCGAAACTTCCTACTCCCGCGAGCGATATAATTGCTCGACGACCAGATCTACTGGGTAACACGTTGATGGAGTCTGTACAATTATTCGCCGAAATAAAACCGCGGAAAATTGATACAGGGGAGATTGATCGCTCAACATCCCCTCCTCTCGCGCTCGCAAATATTTACATTCGCGTTACGGTTGTCGGTAAAATTCTGGCATCTCTACGTATATTTCATCGCAGAGAAACAACGGGATTTCGTAAAGTAGGAGAGGAAGAGCAGAAAGTACGTCGACTTACCGCATGCTCCATAAGAAACGTAAACCGGGCGCGGAATTACCGACGAATCCTACGCGGTTGAGCCCGGTCCAGATGCCCGAGAGAATGGATTTCGTCGAATCCATCCCTCGCTAGCCGCATTCATCCCGTAGATTTCTGGCTGGTAGGATCTCGACCGACGAGAAGAGGAAGAGATTCGGGATCTATTTCCCCCTAGAACGGATATATTCGACCCGGACATACATACACACACACACACACACACACACACACACACACACACACAATATATATATATACACACAGGGTGGCCCTGAACGTTCCAGCCAGACTTTGACTTTCTTAGGAAATTTAATTCTGAAGAAAAAATTTCCTATAAACATGGGCCGGAAAATGCTTCCTTAAGAAGTTATCGCTCAAAAACCTCTGATGAAGGAAGAGCAAAAGGTGAAAAGAAAATGAAATAAAAGGAAAATGAAACTAAATAAATTTCTTGAAAAACGTCTTTATTCATTTTCTATTACATGCTATTACTAAAATATTAGTTAAAAAAAAATTTATTTTATTTTCATAAAAGAAAAGGATTTTTATTTTTTATTTTTATCGTTTTTTTTAAGAAATTTATTTAGTTTTATTTTCTTTTCACATTTTGCTCTTCCTTCATCAGAGGTTTTTGAGCGATAACTTCTTAAGAAAGCATTTTTCGACCCATGTTTATAGGAAATTTTTTGTTCAGAATTAAATTTCCTATAAGAAATTCTCAAAGTCTGGCTGGAATGTTCGGGACCACCCTGTATATATATATATATATATATATATATATATATATATATATATACATGTGTGTGTGCATGTATATCTCAGTCTGAGACGAATTTACAAGTGAAATTGCTCTTTCGGTCAGTTTCCACGGTTCAGGTGATTCAGGCGAGTGCACATCCGCGACGTGGTGTATATATACACCGAGTATATAAGCCGTATACGCGCGTATGCGGGCGAAATGGTCGGTTCGAAAATCGATCCACTCGCCGCGCGCGCACTAGAGAGAGAGAGAGAAAGAGAGAAGAAGAGAGAGAGAGAGAGAGAGAGAGAGAAAGGCCCGGCGAGTGTGAAACTTTAATAAAATTCCCAGATCAGCTATCTCTCTACGTCTCATCTCCCATGCACCGTCGTCGCCTCGTCTCTTCTCTTTTCCGAGAGAAAGCGCGGAAAGGCTCCGAATCCCACGAACGTCCGACACGAGCTCGCTGGAGAAGCGGGCGTTTCTAAAAACTCGGCTTCTCTCCTCGTCCCTCCTCGTGCTTCCCGATGCGGTGTAAAGTACAAATTATCAGTGTTTGCTGTAGATAATTTCAAAATTATCTAGATAAAGATAAAGATAAAAATCCGTAAATTTATCTTAGATGAGATAAAAATGATTTTGCTATTATTTAATTTAGATGAAAGATGAGATAATTATTACGATAATCTAGATAATTATCCAGATATTTTTGTTTATTTTAAAAGACTATAAATATTTGTAAAAATGTAATTATAAATGGGATATTAAAATTATAAACACATATTCTTTCTCTTTTCCCAAAGAATATTTAAATAATAACAAAAAAGTATATAAATGATATGATAAATATTTATTTATTAATTTATATTTATAATATATTTATAATATATTTATAATATAATAATCAATGTGTAACAATACATATATCATTTTTATAAAATATACATTAATGCATTGCACAAATTTAAATAAAACAAGTACAAAATAAAGTATATTTGTAATATTATTTTCCAAATAAAAAATATATTTTAGATAGATTTTTAAAAGCTTGCCTGGAAAACTCTGTTGCATAATGAAAACATCATCTTAGACAATTTTTAAATAAGATGGCATATATTTTTTACCTAAGATAAAGATAAAGATACTTTGTATTTCTTCATCTAGTTAAAGATAAAGATGATCCATTTCTTTATCTAGATAATTATCTAGATAATTATATGTAGATACCAGCAAACACTGCAAACTATACATGGTCAAAGGTCACGTACGAACCGCATCGGTTCAGTCTTTGTGCATCCACGCGCGAAACTAAATATGTGTACCGAAAAAACATAGGCTGATGCACGACACCTATCGCAATTTTTAATTTTGATAGATTTGAAAAAAGGACGAAGAGAAAGCGTTCCATTTTCGCGATACGATCAAATACGACGAGAGAGCTTAATTCCATCTACTATTATTTGCAAGCCGTCAGCGGTGCGGAAATTTCTGGCTTACGACTGCTTGTATTGCATCGCGCGGTTCGATAAATATTATTCCGGCGGGAGGGTGTATTATTAAAAGTTCTTCTGTGTCACACGGAAAATAAACAAGGTTCGATGCGGAGCAAAGCGTAATGCGTTACACATAGTATCATCGATATTCAATGTAACACAATATTCTTGTGTAAAATCAGTTGAGTATTTTGCAAAAAGATTTTCGCGCCAACAGAAAATCAAATAGGTAAAATAGCGATTATTACTATTAATAAAGAAGATTCAATTAAAAATTAAAGTATTAAATAGAGTTTCCAGATTCGGGTCGTATTTTTCGAAAAAAAGTAAGGAGATAATTAAGAAATATGCTGCTATGCACACTGTGCTTTATCATTTTCCTTTGTAAATTTCTATGGTTTAGAAATATTCGTCTCTCTCTCTCTCTCTCTCTCTCTCTCTCTCTCTCTCCTCTCTCTCTCTCTTTCTCTCAAAAGAGACGATTTGAAATTTGAATAATTAATGATGTCTTTGAATTATAAATTCGCTTCACTAGCTTATCGCTTGAATGTTTTACGAATGTTCGAATATCTTTACGCGAAATCCCAATAATTTCGCATTCTCTCTTAGTATACCAAATTCAAATTAGTACGCGAATCTCGGTGATTTTCAAATTTACTGATAAAGAGATCGTACAGAAGAACGAAAAAAAGGCATGGAATAGAAATGTATTTTCAAGAATCAGTTAAAGTTTAAGATAAAATGGAGAAAAAGCAAAGAGGTGACGAAGAAAGGCAGGTGGCAGGTAAATATCATGGATACTCGGTGCACTTTCGTCTTGATTAAAAATTAACGTGCACTTTGGCTGTGCATCGGAGCACGGAGTAAAAACACTCGGTCGCTCGTGACTAAAACGAGTGGCAATTACGAGCGATGTCTCTCAGGAGGGGGACCCGGGCTAAGGAAAGAGATTAAAAAACGGACAGGTAGAGAGCGCGATAGCGCGCGCGAGGGAAAGACGTTGCGGAAGAGACGTGGAAAATTAAACGTCGCCGGGGACGGTGTTTAAACGTGGAGAGATATCAAAAGGATTCGAATTCATTAATCTTAGAAATGGTAGGTAGGTTGGTAGTCAGATGGCTCCATTCTCGCGCGCGCAGGCCAAATATCTCGAATCTTTTTACGGCGTAATGCGACTTTAACTCGTTTAATCCGTTTACCCTCGGCATTCCGTCTGGAAAATTGTCCCGCCGCTACTTTTCTCGCAGACTGCTGTTTAGTTTATCCCATCTCGCGTGCGAGTGACTCAACGCGGACAATGGCATCGTTATTATACGCGAATAAATCAGATGTATATTTGATTCTCAATTTTATTTCGATCCGATAACGTGCGGAAAATATTAACGTGAAAATTTAAAAGATATTAGCGAAAAAAATCGCTTTCTTTTCATCGCATCAAGAAGCTTGTATCGACATACTTGCACGAGAGCAGTGCGCGTTTTGTTCACAGGTACTCCGGTACCCTTCGAGTTCACCCCGTTACTCGGGGGTCTGATCGGTGTGGTCACTGCACTTTTGCTTCTCACCGCCACCATTCTGGCCGCGCTAAAAGTGAGGAGCGAGAGGCGAGCTCAAAGGCCAGGTGATTTACCTCTAAAAAAGGCCACCGCGCCAAGTTCCGAGGATCTTTACGACGCGGACGACAGAAATCCGGATGTTGTGCCGACCAACAAAGGTATGTCCTGAAAACTGTTCTTGACGTAACGTAAAAGATTAATAGCATGAAAAAAGCATATCGATGTTTTAAATATATTCGGAAAAAAATTGCGTGGCGCGCACGCATTTCGAGCAAATTCATCTCGCCATTTGCCATTTTTATTGTCAACTTGTTTAATATTTGCGTCGTTTGACAGCAAACTTTATTAACGTGGGAAATGTGTAAATAAAAAATTCGGAAATATCCTAAATATACATATATCCGGCGCAAAGCGCACGCTCGGAAAAATTCGGACAACGTACGAAATTATTTAACTGCGTAAATCGACGCGCAATGCCGAATAACGCGTAACGCACATCGCCCAGCGATATGTCGATCGACATTCGCGTTTGTCCGGAAAATTTCAATGTATCTCTGCGTCCTACGATCGAAGAAATGCAGCGCAATGTACTCTTATTGCAATGAGCAAGAATTTGCATTCGCGAAAAACAAATGTCGTATTTTTTACAGGACTCGTAAGCTTGTACAAAAATTGATTATCACGTAAACAGTATTATCGCGATAAAGAAGAGTGAAAATGACGTGTGACGATCATTCTTTATAATATTAGACATTTAATTACTTTTATTATACGCGTACGTGTGCACGTGAACGAAACGGGGGTGTCTGGTTATTCCACTTTTCTCTATGTACGCTTTAGCGAATTTACTTTAGAACCGGGTTTCCAATTTGATCTGTAATTTAAAAGAATCGGCCGCGTGGAAACGAGTTCGCTATCCGTTTAATCCCGTTGTTTCATCCAGTTCTATTCTATCCATTTTTACTTACAATTTTTTTCATAAAATGTAACATCGTAGGGGAGGCATTTTTTTATAATTTTATCGTTTTTTTATCTTTAAATAAATATCTACGGAATAGATAAATAAACGATATTTAATTGAAAAAATATTAAATCAATTTAAAAATACAACATTTAATCTCGAATAAAATAAATATATGCAAAACGTAATAAGAAAGAGAGGAATAGAGTTAACGTTGCTATTTCGGGAGTTTGACGTTCGATTCGATATGGAAATTTTATCAACTACATTGCCGCTGGCTTTCAAGCGTAATGCTTGATTGACAGCGATCGCGAACACTTGAGCGAGTGTACTCGAGATCGGAAATTCAGCGGACTCTATTGCGAGTGCAACGCACCGCGATTCGTTAACAGCATCGCGCTACGGCTATGCTATGCGTCATTACATTGTTCGCAATAATGCGCGAGAACGGCACTAGCGCGGTTATGGATCTAGTATATGGTAACTATAGAACTTAACCCCTGACTTGTTAATAAATTACTCGACCGATTACAAGGCAGACTTGTTCACCAAACTCGCTATGCGAATCCGATACACAACGTTTCGAATAGTTACAATCGCGCGCTTGCGAGAGCTTTGTTATTGTAATTCTGCGATATAATCGTAGAGGAATTGTTTATAATTCTTTTCAATTGTAAAATCGTCAAAATCGTCATTTTTGCTTCGTGGACTTTTTAAAGCGAATAACAAAATATCGATCGAGTTTATTCCCCTTCCCTCCAACAAAAGTGAATTATTATTTCCTCTATATAATTATCAGGCATTTCTAGTTATATTCGCGAAATTATACATATATTTGGAACGCTAATTTGTCGTCCAAACAAAATATTCAATGTTAATCTAATGAAGAAAATTACTCTGGACGCGACATTACTTAATTATTTAATCACGATCGATGCTATATATCTGTTTAGGTACAAATTACTATTTAATTAACATATCGCATTAGTGTACCGCTCCTCGGTAAATTAAGCCGCGTATCGATACATTCGTAATGCTTTATAGTTATTAGTTTATTACGATAAAGTTCAGTGCGTCATCACGTAAATTAGTGATTAAATTGGTTTAATGTACGTAAACAAATACGTTATAGTGTGGTTTTCTTTTTTATAAGTCTATAATAATAAACTCTGCGAATAATTTTCGTAGCTATGGTATCTCTTTCTAACGTCTCTAATAATCTTTAAATGGATAGTATCAATAAAATATCTCATACTCTAACATACTTGATCAATATTAGCTCACGATACACATATAAGAAACGTTCCACTTTTTTATATTTTTTACACATTATTTAAAAACTACAAGACGACAGGTTTTTATATATAAAAAAAACTACAGGCACTATAGGACGACATTTATTTTATATATATATATATATATATATATATATATATATCAAATATATTTTTATCGTCTCTAAATATCACGTGTGTTGCATATTTTATCATTTTATTTGAAAAGTTCTTTATTTACTCACGATACATTTTATTGGTTTTAAAAACCGATATTTCGAGAGAGATACCGTCTGAAAAACAAGTACAAACTTTTCAACAAAATCATATTCGATAATATTTCGTCGCGGAGTGGAGCGAGGAAATTTTTCATGTGCTTGAACTGAAAGATTCAGATTATCAGCTGACCGGCTCGACTTCCGGCACGCCGTTGGCAACGCAAAACACACCGGATGGTCTTCCACCGTCGTCCCTTCCGGCCCAGCAGACGAATAATCACCTTCAAGGACTTCCCGCCTATTCGCATAACGACTACAGCAATTATCCAACCTTGCCGGTAAGTAACGCGCGACGCGGAAGTTCTTTTCTAACGAAATTTATTAATTTTCTCGATTTTATTTGCGAAAAAATTAACGTCCGACGGAATCTTAATTCTCATTCCTTTCTTCTCATTCTATTATTTATTAAGGGAATCCCTCATTGAACTCTTACACGATATAGCGTCTTCATCTAAATCCTCATCCCGTATCTCTCTTTATCACTAATTTAGAAAGAAGAAGCACTGCTTTTTCTATTCTACTTTACCGACATTTCAGGTATATATACGGACCGAAATTTTTGGGCAAGTGCCATTTATTAATTACTAAACTCAATTTTCAAAGTTCCACAAATTTTTATTGTGCAGTCCGCTATTGGATATGTTGTTGTTTTATGTTATAAAAGCTACAAAACATATATACAAGGCTAATGTTTTTATGAGGGTATAGCTTTAGAGGCCATGTTGATTTAAGAAGTCGATAAATAAATATATTTTTTTACACTTTTTTTCCTTTCTCAGCATGTAATCGGTTTCGCCGTGTCCGTTTGCATCTATACTTCAACCGTAAAAAAGGATTTTTAATTCTATTGCAGGCAATAAAAAATGACAGCTGCCCAAAATTACAGTGTTTTGTCGATAAAACAGATAGGTTGAGAGATTCCCTTAATTATATAACGATCTTTATAGATTACAATGACGTTGTATATTGCACATAATTTTATTTTAAAGATCTACTTTTAAAGATCACATCTAATAAGCACATATATTAATAAATCTTAAAATCTTGCAAAAAACGTGGAAATTAAATAGTACTTTGCTTATATAAAATACATCCGCACACACTTTAGCGAATAACTGCCGCGCATGCAAAAGCCAATTCTCCAACAAACTAACGATTTCCTTTTAGATTCCGTGTTAAATTATACTTTGTTGTCCTACTCGGTGCATACTCACATGCCATATAGTTGGTATAGCCGTTACATGTAAATGAATGTTTTGATTGCACGAGACGCAAGTGAATGCAGCAAGTATCGTTTGCAGCAGATGGAGATTTAAACTATCGATTTTAAACAATTAAAATCGATAGTTTAAATCACGAAAGTTTCATTAGTACATTGTGAGAAGCGTTTTAATAAAATTAATAGGTTTATTCAATGAGATAGGAAACTGCAAAGTGGAGTGCAAAGGTACCGAAGAAGCGAGACAGTTTGGCGAATCCAACGCCGTTGTCGTACTCCATCGTGTCGTTCGCCTTTTCCCTTTGCGATAAGCTTCGGCTAACATTTTCGAGAAAGTCCTCCGAGCAGTGTAGTTTGAAATAACAGTATCCATCCGGAGAGGATGGCGCCCAGGCTGCGTAAAGTTTCAACCGGCAAGCTACGCTTTCGGCGTTCGAAACTAGAAAATTGCACTCTCCACGTTTCTTGTCGATTTTGAGAAACATTCCGAGATCAAAGAAGTATCCCAAATGCCGAGATGTATAGAGATAGTTTAGAAATGCGTAATCTTTTACCGAATAAAAAATTATCCCTCACTCGGTATAATGTTATTAATCGGCGTATTATAAAGGCAAACTTTTACGATCGCGATGACAAATGAACTCTCTAAAAGTGAATCAGTGTATTATCACTGAAAAACAGTAAATAGTTACTGATTACAGCAGTTATAAGTACAGCACTGTAAATCAGTGATATTTTATTGAAAGAATCAGTTAATAATTTTAACTGTTTCAATCAGTAATATTTCTCAATATCAGTAATATTTCTTTCGTTATTGTCAGTAATATTAAACTATAATTCATCTCTTTATCTATTTATTATAAAATTAAAAATTTTATTTATATTTACTAAATATTTATTATATTAAAAATTTTATTTTATTTATATTACATGCATATTGAACTTGTTATTTTAAATAGATAACGAACGAATAATTTTCATTAAGTCGCCAGACATTTGTTTGTCCGACTTATAAAGATCGATTTAATATCTGAAGCCTCTCTATGAGATTGTATCAGAAATTAAATCGAAGTAATATTTTTAATTTTAAATGTCGTTCTTTGCAAACTTTAGATAATTCTTATAACTAAAATTAAATACGAAAGAGATAGCGATTGTAGCGGTAAATGAAGGAACTAGCGATTACTGGTTTTACAGTGAAATTTACTGATTTTACAGTGAATTTTATTTTAACTGACCAATAATCAGTGAGATATAAGATAAAATAACAAAAAAAATAAGCGTTTCCACTAAAGATCAGTAAAATACTCACTGATTCTCAGTGAAATCTTATTTTATTGTTTAAATTAGTGATATTTTCACTGATTCACTTTTAGAGAGAATGAAATCCTGCCCTTTTTTCGTTACCTTTACGCGCGTTTCCTCCTTCAAATTTTCCCCAATCTCCTACTCGTTCCTTTCGTCACGATTCGCTGAAACTTCACCCTCAATTTCACACCAAATTAATTGCTAATTACCGTTGGGATTTAAAGTTCTGTTAGTAAAACCTCGGCAAGAACAAAACTCCAGAGTGGAAAACTTTGATTATCGCTAAGAATTTTCGTATTCCATTTCACCCCCGGTTAATTGTTGTTTTTTTTTTATCATTTCCAATTGTTTCATTCCTTTCGCTAAATTTGAAATTTCTTCAGAAATTGGCAATATCATTTAAGATTTCTCGCGTATAAAAATTGTCAGAGTTTGCAAGTTCTCGCGTAAATATAGATTCTTATGGAAAATGTAGACAGAGAGTCTGACGGTATAGTAAAAGACAGCATCATTCGCATTTTGTAAATTTGAATTCATATTTCTTTTTTCATTAATCCTATGCCCGATAAAATCTAATGAAGTAGTTCGCTGCGAACAACTTCGTCTATGCCTTTCCTTGCTATGTTCCATCGCGAGGAAACATTTCCCGTGCTGTTTTGCGTCCAATTTATAGGAAATGGCGTCGGGCACTCGAGGGTTTCCGTCCTAAACAGTCGAAGGAACTCCCGCCGTCAAAAGTTTTCGTGATACGAGCCAACTAGTTCGGGCGATCTCTTAGGGAATATTCAGGAGTGAAAATTTCGAAAGTTAGACCTGTCCGTATTATCTAAGTCCCGGGAATAGGGAAAATGCGCCACGAAAACTCTTCCCTTAGTTTCTTAGGACGCTTTGGTTCTATCTCGAAAGTTGGCTGCATTTCGCATTGGGTTGCACGGGATTATTTAAACGTCCGCTCGTATATGCATTATCCCGCTTGCATTTACTTTAGCGAAGATTATGCCGCGCATACATATCTATATAACTCAATGTAATGTACGCTAATGTACTGAAATTAGCTTAATCTCCTGTTCCCCACGTGTCATTAGATATCCGAGTCGGACTTGTTGCGTAATACACGACCGATTCGATCGATCGAAACAATACGCACACTGCAATCGTAATCGGATTCAAGGCTAATGTGGAATTCAACGCTCATCGTATGATCCAATGAATCTCATTCAGTTGGAGTTGACTCTTCTCTGTGTTCTCAGCGTCGCGTAAACTCGTACATCGTAACCCAAATAATTGTATCTTCGATTGCAACCGTTGCCACGCTTATATAATTCATACTACTTACGTAATTTTGACATCATCGCTATACGATAACATAGGTCTGCAAAAAAGGGGATCAAAATTTCTTTTTAAGATGCAATAGTGATTTTTGACGTAATTTTATGCGCTGAATCCGAATCTGGCCGCCGAATTTGCGTAGCACGTCAGGTTTTTGAATTATTTGTAGTTAAATAGCCCAAAAATCGCTATTTTGGCCAATTTCATGAATTTATTGTGAATAAAGCAAATTTTTTGAAATATTTCTGTCAATGGCATCGTATATAGTACTCACCTTCATCTTTCGAATCCACTTTCGATTACCGCCGCATGATTTTTTTTCGCTCAGATATACAAATCATAAGACTGGTTATGCATAGGGATCTAATAAGCCATTCTAAATCAACCGTGCCACCTCTTTATTTCACTATGAATCAAAATTAGGATAAAAATATACATTTTTAAACCTTCTGTCACCTTTTGAAATTAAAAATGGCGCATCCAATATGGCGAATAGAATCACAATAAAAGGATAAAATTTAGAAAAATTTATCAAAATGTGAAACAACTGTATTAGATATTTCTTTACAATACTTTTTTAGACAACCGAACCTGACATATGTCAGTCTTTTCAACTTTCAACATCATGAATCTACCATATTGATGTCTATATAAATTTTCTTTAACATAAATTTTCTTACAACGTCCTACTTATATATCTCAGCGAAGAAAAATTGTGCGGCGGTAATCGAAAGTGGATTTGAAAGGCAAAAGTGAGTATTATACGATGCCATTGGCAGAAATATTTCAAAAAATTTGGTTTCCTCGCAATAAATTCATGAAATTGGCCGAAATAGTGATTTTTGAGCCATTCAATTACAAATTACTCAAAAACGTGACGTGCTACGCAAATTCGGCGGCCAGATTCGAATTCAGCTCACAAAATTACGTCGGAAATCACTATTGCATCTTAAAAAGAAAAACCTCGCAGGCCTGTGTAATTAATTTCGCGTCTCGTTATTTTTATTAAAAAAAATTTTTATTAAAAAAATAAGACAATTCTTTTTACGGCAACAGTCTTTGTGTAGCGTGTCCCAATTTATCTTTTTCCAGCTATCCGGCGAGGTGACGTATGCCGAGTTGTGCCTGGCAAGGCCCACCACCCTGTCAACCCTGGCGACTGACGCCAAACTGGCCAGCCTCGGTAGCGGAGTCGGCGGTCTGGGTGGCCTTCCTGGTTACGGCAGCGGCCTCGGGGTAATCGTGGGCGGCAAACCGTACACGAAGGAAGCCACCGTCTACGCGTGCATCGATCACAACGCCAGGCCGCCCAAGATCGACGTCTCGAACGCGCCGTCGTGCGCGACCACCCCTCTAACGACGGCGAACGTGCTCCAGGACTCTACCGTCTCCACCGTGATGAGCGGCAAGCAGCATCATCCGGCGAGGGAGGTCGTCACCGTCCGCACGCCCCTCATCTCGACCCAGGAGAGCTGCGTATAGGGACGCGATTCCGACGCGCTCAACGTCAACGAGTACTACGTCTGATATGGCCGCCGTCTCGTGACAATCGTGCGCGTCTTCGTGGTCGACCTTTCGATTCCTTAGAATTTTTCGCGGCGCTCTCTTCAAAGTAAAACGTCCTCGAATTCTCGGGAAAAGATATCTCTACATGAATTTGCGTTTCGTTCGGCTGCGATGTGATCGCTCGTTCTTCGAAAGATACAAGACACTTTTGCCGACAACAATGACCGTCAGAAGCTCTATTGCCGAGTGGCAGCGCTCGTGTCTGCAATGGATAAACTTTTTGGATCGTGACAAACGATGGTCGAACTACCCCTTTAGTAAAGGACTCGCATGAGACATGCATCAAGGATCACGAGGATAAGCCAGAGAGAAAGCCGGATGCATTCTTTTGAATGTAATCTACTCACGCGATTTGCAATCCTATCGAGATAGCTAATTTAAACATTCAACACTGCTCAAATAATTTTGATGAATATATATCAAACGATTCCAATGTATCGGGTGCAATAATTGAATTTTTTCGATTTGAGATATTCCATTGTGTGTGTTCGCGATAGGATATGTGACAAAATACCTATGTTAATAAAATACATATGTTATATAAAATCCATGAAAAAATATAAATATAGTTATTGTCAGATTTTTAAAAATTTCGAGAATTGTATCTATCTTTGATGGGAATGAAAGCATTATACAAGAAAAAAAGTTCCATATTCAAATAGAGCACACACTAGAAATATACTTGAGAAATTTTTTGATTATAATTTAAAAAAAAGTGTATCCTGAAACGCCATCGATCGAGAACGTCGCACGGTTGCGAAACGAATTTATTCACGAGAGAATGTGTCACCCTTATACGATTGTTTTGATTTCGGGAAATACCGGTGTCTACAAATCTACGAGACTATGAAAGATTTCATTGGTTGACCGAAGAATCGATGAAGTGGAAGAAAACACGTCGAGAAATCTAGATTTCTACACTTCGCGGGATGTTCGTATCGCGAGAGGCGATGTACCCATGTCTCGCGACGGCGAATGTAGATTTTCTATCCCAAGAGTATACTTTGTATTACAAAGTAGAACTGGGAATAAAGAAGATCGTCGCGCGTTGAGTGTATTTTCATAAAATGACGCGTCTTTATCGATATGCGCCCTTTCTCCTTTTTCTCTCTCGGAGAAACTACTGTGTCTCGTGTCGATTACGTTGAGACGATAAATTTCGAGGACGGGAAGGATTCGCGACGAGGAGAGGATCAATCTATTTCGCGAAAACTCTCCAAATATTTTCGCGTTGCGATGCGAAACAAGTGCACCGAGAACACGACAGCGTTACGAGAATCCGACGTGAAGATTTTCTCGATGTCGGACACGTTCTCTTCCTTTTGTCGTTATCGCGGAATTTCCAGCTCCAAAAATACTCGCAATTTTATGGACCATCCAACTCTCAATCGCATCGATCGATCTCATAAATAGATTCATGCTCGGTTAATACGATTTTGTCTCCTCGCACATTATCAATTTAATTATCAAGAAAATGATTAATCGGTCAAATAAAGCTGCTGTTCAATGATTGAACGAATCTCCCGAAAAAGCACACATATAATTGTTTTCGTTTACATGGCACATTACACAGTTAACGTTTTAAGTGTGCCACGTTGACGTGAGCTGATGAATTAAATTTCAGTTTGTATTAAGGGCGATTTTACCAAAAAGATCGATTTTTTAGATCGATCTAGATCGGAGACTTAAAAATCGATTCGCCAAAAAATCGACTGTTAAAGCATCGATCTATCAGAAATCGATCTCTTTATTTAATTTTACAAAATATTAAATATTTCCAATCGTATTCAATTATTCTTCTCACATTCAACTGCGATTGGTTAATTTTTTACAATTCCTTACATCATATAAAGAAAAATGGTGGATTAAGGCCAAGTCTACAATAGATAACTTAAGCCTTAAGTGTTAAGAAATTGACCAATCACACTCGAGTATTTTTTCAAATATTCTCTTCATATTTGACTGTGATTGGTCAATTTCATAAGGCTTAGAGCTTAAATTACCTATTGTAGACCCGGCTTTAAAGTAAAGAAATTTTCTAAATTTCCTTTCAACTAAATTTGTATAAATACTATGCACACATATACGAAAAATCAAGGCGTAATATGAATTTTATACTTTTATTTTTTAGGATTGATCTCTAATCTTAAGAATCGATTTACTGGATTAATCGAAGATGTAAGATCGATCTAAAAAATCGAGAATCGGATATAAAAGAATCGATTCTTCAAAAGATCGATTCAAGTTCGCCCATCCCTAGTTTGTATATCGACGTTTATTCTGAATTATTTACAGTACGCCACATCACGGAAACTCGCAAGGTAAGAATAAAATTGCTGATCATAAAATAAGCGAAACTATCAGTCCTCTTTTCTCGCGCGACCCCTTTGCTTTATCTTTTTCATCGTTCTAGTCTATTTACACGAATTTTCTTTTATCTAAACGCGCGACGTATGAATAATATTCGCGCGGGAATTTCGCAAACGTCGCATTTCCACAATAACTCGAGAAAGAATTTTCCCCTCGTAATGATCTGACACACATTGTCGTAAGATATTGTAAATAATAACTTTTCCTCGAGGACGAGAGAGAGGACACGGGAATATAAATTTAGATTAATTATCGAAATTATATCGTGTGCGTTGAATAAAGAGCCTATCCGCGCTCCGAAAATATGTATATTAATTCTAATTACTAAACGTACCTTGTACACTGCGCATCGTTCAATAGCGACGCGAGCATCCATGCATTATTCGTAATTCCATTTAGTTCGAACGGAGGATATTTTGCGACGGGATCGTCATTCGTGAATAAAGAGACAATAACGTTGCAGGACTGTTGAGTTAAAAGCGGCTCAACGAACGGTCAATTACATCGCGCTGTATTTTTCGAGCTAAATTAAGCTTATTTGAGAGCTTCCTTGAAATATCGAGAATAATACTTTATTTTTTATTCCAGTACCAATTTTCATATTCCCTTCTAGCAAAAAAAACAAGTTTACTTGTGTCACCGTGCATATCGAAGCTGATTATTCAAATTTACAATTTAAAGAGTACTAGTGTCATACGGTATTAAAAATCAGCAAGAAAAGCGCATTTGAGGATGAATAAAAAATATATTTGAAAATAATTTATCTATCTATATGCATGAGTCCATCATACGAAGCCCGTGTTTAATTTATATCGAGTCACGCGATATCAAACGCGATGTAATTCATCGTTTAGCAGCCGATTATATCTTCACTTCGCATCGATCCCTTAAAAAAGATAACATACTGCCGCGACGTGCATTATTTTACGAAATCTTGTGGATGGACCTGTATCTTATAGGACTGCCAAACGCGCACAACTGCCATGTCGCATTTGTTTTCGTTAAGTTTATCGTCGAAAATAACAAGGAACAATCGAGAGAGTATCTTTCGCGCGTCGCCATACGTTGTGCACCGTACAAATGTACATACACGCGTGTACATCTTAGAGATATATATACATGCAGAGTGTCCCAAAAGTCCCGGACCGATCGAATATTTCATAAACTATGCACTTTAGAAAGAAATGTTTCAGACAAACGTTGTATGGCTTGAAGGGGGCCATCAGATAGTGGCAATGATTTGACCTTGGAGAGTCATTTGAAGGTGACGTAAAGGTCACCTTCAAATTCTTAAATGGAACTCCCTATTTTTTATTACATATTCCTGTAGCTTATCTCGAGAGCTTTCCAAAACACTATAATAAAGTATTTCTTCATTGAGTACTTTTCGAGTTATGAGGCTTGAAATCATTTTTTAATTTTGTATAAACCATAAAATATTTAGTAAAGTATTCATTTTTCGATTATCTTACTTTAATACTTTATGTACAAAATAATGAGATGAATCAATTAGTGTAAAGAAAAAACATAGTTGTTTTTAAGAAAAATATGTAATTTGCAATTAACAATTACATATTTTTTTTTAAACAACTATGTGTTTTCTTTACACCAATTGATTCCTCTCATTATTTTGTATATAAAAATATTAAGGTAAGATAATCGAAAAATAAATATTTTACTAGATATTTTATGATTTATGCAAAATTAAGAAATGATTTCAAGCCTCATAACTCGAAAAGTATGAAGAAATACTTTATTATAGTGTTTTAGAAAGCTCTCGAGATAAGTTACACGAATATGTAATAAAAATAGGGAGTTCCATTTAAGAAATTGAAGGTGACCTTTACGTTACTTTCAAATGACTCTCCAAGATCAAATCATTGCCACTATCTGATGGCCCCCTTCAAGCCATACAACTTTTATCTGAAACATTTCTTTCTAAAGTGCATAGTTTATGAAATATTCGATCCGGGTCCGGGACTTTTGGGACACTCTGTATATTGGTCCTCATCGCAGTCACATGCAGCGAAGATGGAGTTGTAAATAACTTGTACATAAGGACACATCGAGAAAAGAGAGACTTTATTCGCGAGAGATGCTCGAGGTTAAACCCCTACGTCTTCTTTGAGGGACGACAACAGAACAAGCACACGAAGGATCATTATCGACCGATCCGTTAACGACATTACAACAGCTACGTATGTGCTCTTGAAGAGAAATTGTATCGAACGTTATTATTTTCTTGCCGATCCACGGGAAAGGAAAAATACGTTGATTTTAACACACGTGAATGTTTTATTTTGCTTTCAAAAAATTTCGTCATTCTTATTCAAGATACTTATCTGGTATTCTCACAATCAGTTTCTTACTTCGTATACAGGTCGTACAAAAAGTCTGGAATCTCCTGAATAACTGGGAGAGATTTCATTTTAGAGAAAAATGTTAAAATAAATATAAAAGTTGTAGGGCTCTAAAATATCTATTTATTATATTCTTTTAGTCTTATCAGCATGATCACAGATGGTGTTGCCAAGATTTCATTAAGATCACCTTGAATTTTTAAAATAGAAACCCTTATTTCTTATTACATATATTTATATTCATTATAAAATACGTATTTAATTTGTAATTTACAGTTACATATTTTTTCTTAAAAACAACTGTGCGTTTTTCTTGTATCAATTGATTCCTCTCATTATTTTGTGTTCATAAAAGTATTGAAGTAAGATCGAAAAAGGAAATTTTACGAGATATTTTATAATTTATAAATAATAATAATTTATAAAATATAAAATAAAATTTATAAAATTATAATTAAAATTAAGAAATTACCTCGAGTCTTATAACTCGAAAAGTATTTAATGAAAAATAACTTAATTATAGTATTTTAGAAAGCTCTCGAGATAAACTATAAGAATATGTAATAAGAAATGAGGGTTTCCAATTTAAAAAATTCAAGATGACCTTCATGTAATCTTGGTAACGTCACCTGTGGTGCTGATAAGACTAGTAAATAGATATTTTAGAGCCTTACAACTTTTTCTATTTAACATTTGTCTCTAAAATAAAATCTCTCCAAATTATTCAAGGGATACTTTTTGTACATCCCGTATAATTCTAATATGTACGTTTTTTTAATATATATAATTACTGTTATTACTATTATAATTATTACTATTATTACTATTATTATATAATTATTTATAAAACAATAATAAAAATCTTTATCATTCTTTCTCGTGGCTAATCGATATTAAACGTACGATATAAAATTAATTATTGATCGTCGTTGTCATTGTCGACGCACAAGTCGATGTGATGAGCGTTCCTTCGTGCGTACACATACGCCCCTTCGTAATTTGTAAGATATATGCTCCGATGTACAGCGCCGAGATATTTTTTCAGAGTGTGCGTAATACAATACCTCCGCGTATATCGTCAAGTCTTGGACGCCCAATTAGGGAATCGAGGCCCGTTTAAAGAGCGGGCGGGACTGTATAATTAAACGATTGGATTGAGATTAATGGTCAGACAAAGAACTAAAGATATATATGTATATGTACGTATGCGCATGTGTGCTTGTGTGTACGTGTATGTGTGTGTGCGTAAATCTATCTTTCGTCGTGTGCATACGTGATAGAGGATAAAGAATAATAAAAAAAGAGATATATATGTGTGTATGAGTAAATATGCGCTATTTCACGATTTTCTCACGTGATTTATTGTAATAAATAATTAATTCTTCCACATTCTTCTTTTACATTTTTTTATCAGTCGACAGGCATGAAAATATGTGCTGTCTTAATATTATATTTTTGCATATATTACTTTCTAGATGTTCAATACACTCGCGTCTTGCTTTTCATTGCAGTTAAATATCGTAGCTATTTCGCAATAAAGAATTTTTCAAGAATTCAAGAATGAAAGGATTGAGAGACGATTCTTTTTCTTTTATATCCGGGCGCTCGAACGAGGTCCAAGTGGAGAAAAGAAAATTATACCTCGAGTGCTCCAATCAAATCTCCGTAAGATCGATTCTCCTTCCAATTCAAAAGCTATCTAGCTGCTTTACTGTTCTTCTTTTTCATATCCTATTCTTGTGCATTATATTATTGATACATACTGTCTACAAGTGAATCAGTGTATTATCACTGAAAAACAGTAAATAGTCACTGATTACAGCAGTTATAAGTACAGCACTGTAAATCAGTGATATTTTATTGAAAGAATCAGTTAATGATTTTGACTGTTTCAATCAGTAATATTTCTCAATATCAGTAATATTTCTTTCGTTATTGTCGATAATATTAAACTATAATTCATCTCTCTATCTATTTCATATGAAATTAAAAATTTTATTTATATTTACTAAATATTTATTATAGTAAAAATTTTATTTTATTTATATTACATGCATGTTGAACTT